AGGATGACATAGATGATGCTGATACAGCAACGGATAATGTAGTGATTATGGAAAATTTATTAGAAGAAGCAAAAAAAATTATTTTTTGCATTGTAATTTTTTTTTTATTAATAAAATATTGAATTTGATATTGTTTCCATTTCGAATCTAAGAATATGAACATTAATTATCACAATATAGCACTCATTATTTATAAATATATAGGTTTTTTATGTGATTTACCCTCATCCAGCGGTGTTTCTGCAGCCTGCAAAACTTCTAATGATAAACTTTGTTGCTCATCCAAAATTTCGCGTTTTTCCCCAATCAGGATGTCTATATCCCTAATTTGTTCCTCTACTGCCGCCAGAGCATTGAAACTTAAAGACTGGTTGTTCCCAAACAATGACATTTAATCATTTATATTCTGCTTATGTCATGAATATCAATTAGATATACCTTTTTTCTCGTGGATTTTTTTTTTGGCGCCTTAATTGCGGATGGTCTTTTTTCAGTTGCAACCCTTTGCTTTTGAAGTTGAAGCTCCGCTTCCTATACAAAAGATTTGAAGTGATAAAATATTATTAAATGGAATCACATATCCTATAATATTCACTACTCAATTATTAACTTTCCTTCTGATTATATTCTTCTTCTAACTGAGCCACAACTTTCGCCATTCTTTCCACCTTTTTCTTTACTTCTTTCAACCTTTTTGCTTGTTCTTGATTTTGTTGACGCGTCTGTCCCGATTGCCTCATAGAAATTGTAGGAGATTTTGCATGCCCATTTTTTCTAGTCGAATATTGCAAAGAATCTAACTGTGCCTTTTTTAATTCCGCATCCAATTCATGTTCACGCTGGTCTGCCTATAAAAATATGTAGCAAGAGTAGTAAAAAAACAAATTTGTAATATCATGAACTAGAGTTTTCTAGGTAAGTAGAGTCGTCTCATGCATATTAAACACGTGTAAACACCTCCTCCTGGAGCATATTCTCGCGTTTTTCTAATTCTTTTAACATATCTTCAGCTTTTGATAAGAGGCTCTTGACCCGTGGCTCAAGTTGAACTGCTAAAGAATTCTGAGCTTCACGTATTTCTGCTTCTGTAACAAGTTCATAAACCTTTCAAATAAAAATTATTGTTACTTAAGTCCTGTGCATTCAATAAATTC